CAAGGGCCCAAACGTTTTTGATCACAGAAAACACACACACACACACACACACACACACACACACACACACACTCCATCTCTCTAATGCAGTGGTTCTCAGCCTTCCTAATGCCGCGACCCTTTAGTACAGGTTCCTCATGCTGTGAGAACCATGAAACTTTTCGTTGCTACTTCATAACTAATTTTGCTATTGTTATGAATCAGGTGACCCCTGTGAAAGGGGTCATTTGACCTCCAAAGGGGTCAAGACCCACAGGTTGAGAATCACTGTTGTAATGGATTATCTACACATAAATAAGAGTTGGAGAAATTCAGCTCAAAAACACAAAAATGCCCTATGTGCAATTTCCAGATTGTCCCAACTATATTTGTCTTTCTTTCTTTTTTTTAATCGTTTTATTAGGGGCTAGTACAACCCTTATCACAATCCATACATACGTCAATTGTGTAAAGCACAGTTGTACATTCATTGTCCCAACTATATTTATGGGCGTAAAAAACTGTACATTTATGTGCCAATCCACTATACCTTTTATCATCCAAATTTCAGGACTAAAAAATATACTAGCTTTTACTGATTTTTTTTCCAGGAGATGAAGGATACTTTGCATTGGTATTTTTTACTTCCATTAATCATTTATTTTGAAGACCTATCTCTCTTTTGCTATGATAAGAGCATATACATCAGATCTTACCAAATAGATTCTATCTCTCTAAAGACTTTTAAGAGATTCTACCCTTCTAATGACTTTTACTTCAGGCTGTGATAAGGAATATAGGTTTTTGGCTTTTAGGAAACAGTTAAGGTGAGGCAAGCGTCAGGGTCCTTAAGTTCTTTCACATCTACACATAATATAAAGTCTTCATTAATTTCACTGATTTTAAGATGTTCAAAATAAGAATTTTTTTTTAAAGGGGGGAGGCAATTAGGGCTGGAAATGTGTTGGGAATATACATATATATTCTTACTGTATATGGCAGCTGTCAAGAGTAGAGACACAATGCCTTTTCTGCTACCTATTTCCCACAACCAAGTAAGTAAAAATCACAGTCTGTTCATTGGTCATAAGAAAAATTTGGGGTATTAAACTAAGCAACCAATAAATCAAATACACACCACCATGCAAAAGGCATTTGCTCCAAGTACTTATATGGAGGAGCTAGATAGATTGGCAGACAGATATAGACACAGACCCACACACAGTTCTATGGTCTCTACCCTCTAGGAACTAATAATCCTATAATTTAAATGTGGGTACTACTGAATTAAGGGAGAAGCTAGAAAAACAGAACGGTGAAATTCCTCCCCAGATGCAAATAACACCATTTAATAAAATACGTATGTGTGCTAAGTACAAATCTTGCACATATTTTGTATTTAACCTTTAATACCTGCCAGATATAACAAATCTACTAAAATCTGTAGGATTTGATAGGGGGTGTAGAAAAAGTTAAATTACAACAAGTACAACCTCTAGCACTGCTATACTATTATAACAATGTTGTAATACAGTCACTTGGATATTCTGTGATCACTTACGCTTTCAGTTCATAACTACATGCAGAAAATCGATGTGACCGAAAACACCCTGAAAGCTCCGCATTACTAGGCTTGTGGGGGGGAAAACATCCCCAAAACACAACCAAAAGAGAAACCTCGCTGCCACTGAGTCAATTCTAACACACAGTGACCCTATTGGGCCGAGGAGAACTGCCTCTCTGGGTTTCTGAGACTGCAAATCTTTATGAGAGTTGAAAGCCTGGTCTTTCTCCCACAGGTTTCTGAAAAACCCCAATTTAAAAAACTGCATCAAGAGCACTTTCTATCTCATCTTTTTACAATGAGACCAATCACCTCCATGAAGTCCACTGATCAAGTATACCAGGCACCTTTGCAAAAGGGAGTCCAGGCCAACGCTGATACCATGACTGGACTGGCTGAATACCGATTTTTCTAAGCTTCTGGGCCACAGCTCAAATGATGTGCCTTACACATTTGTGTCATACACATGCTATACATGCTCAAGAGGCTACAAACTGAAGATTCCTAACAAGCTTCAAAGAGCAGATGTGCCAGAGCGTCTCATACAATGATTTTTAAAAACAAAAGCCCAAAGTGAGTTCGCTCTGGGATTCCCTAGTGACTGTGATGCTGATGATGGCGGTGCAACCTTGTGAACACCTTAAAGCCAAACCAAAGTCATGGCTGCCCAGTCCATTCTGACTCATACTGACACTGGGGGGCAGAGCAGAACCACCTCTGGGCTTCTCTGAGTCTGTAACTCTTCACTGGAACGGAGAGCCTCAGAGTTCTTCCGAGGAGTGGCTGGCAGTTTCAAACTACAGGCTTCCAAGTTAGCTGCCCTAAACAGAAGCCAATATACCACCAGAGCTCCTCAAGAACCACTGAACTGCCTGTTTTAAAGGAGTGCCCGTGGAGCTTCAAAAAACCTAACTGAAAAGTAGGGGAATCTCGTTGGCCTGAAAATTTTGAAGCCCTCCTCTTTTTGTATCGTATGTGAATTACATCTCAATTAAAATAAATAGTTTCTCTACAGAGGAGTGGGCAGCAGTCATCGCTATTGTGTCTTCATACTTCCTTCTGGCTTTGCAAATGCCAGAGCTCCTGTCTCTAGAGCAGTGGTTCTCAACCTTCCTAAGGCCGCCACCCTTTAATACAGTTCCTCAAGTGGTGGTGACCCCCCCAGCCATGACATTATTTTCGTTGCTACTTCATAAGTGCAATTTTGCTACTGTGATGAATCGGGCAATCCCTGTGAAAGGGTCGTTAGACACCCCCCCACCCCCAAAGGGGTCACGACCTGAAGGCTGAGAACCGCAGCAAAAGCTTTTTGTAGGATTCCATTGTAAAGTACTATTTTTCCTCCCAAACCCCATTTAAATAATTAACCTTTCTTTTGCTCCTTCCAACCCACTTTTTGGCCTCATCGCCCCCCTGCTCACGTGCACTTCCAATAGGACTCAAGAGGCAAGAGACACTCACTTGGAATTCATTCTGACGCTAACGGGGGAGGCATTCCATCTACTACCAAACCACCACTGTCAGGGGTGGGTTAGCACGGGGAGCACCGAACGGGGCGGCGGTTTCTCGGGTCTGACGACCACGGTGTTTCTTTCTCACCCCCCAGATGTTAACAATCGGGAGCCAGGGCGTTCCTGATAGTGATCGCCCCCCACGATCAGTAATGGAGCTAAGTGATGGGAAGGTTGATGTTTTTCCTCGGTGGGGCGAAAAGATGGCTTCACGTTCAGGCTGGCCAATAAATCGAACTTCTAAGCAACCAACTACCGCTCAGCAGCCAGCGGCTCGAACGAAGTCCCCTGCTTGTTCCTCGGGGAAGGGGGGGGGGTCTTTCTTCCCGAGCCCCCCGCCCCCGGTGACCCAGCGACCCGGCCTGGGGTCGTGCGGCTCCGCTTCGCGCTCCCCGAAAGCCTGGTGAGCCGTCCCCGCAGGGGCGCGGCCCGCCAAGGGTGCTGCTTTCGCATTTTGAATCCCGAGTAGGAAGTGAGACGGCGCCCGCTCAGT